AATACTCAAAACATAATTAAAACCTTTTTTGGAAAGTAAGCTCTCCCTCTGGAGCCCACAGACTGAGCTTCTAGTTGCTTTTTTTTTTTTTTTTTTCTGAGATGGAATCTTGCTTTGTCGCCCAGGCTGCTGGAGTACAGTGGCACGATCTCGGCTCACTGCAACCTCTGCATCCTGGGTTCAAGAAGCGATTCTCCTTCCTCAGCCTCACTAGTAGCTGGGATTACAGGCACGTGCCACCACACCCAGCTAATTTTTGTATTTTTAGTAGAGATGGGGTTTCACTATGTTGGTCAGGCTGGTCTCAAACTCCTGATCTCGTGATCTGCCCGCCTGGGCCTCCCAAAGTGCTGGGATTACAGGCGTAGGCCACCACACCCAGCCTCTAGTTTGTTTGTACTGCATCTGTAGTTCACAGGTCCAGAGAGTCATAGTCAATTCAGAAAATCAAAGTGAAAAGCTAGGTTTCAGGGCTCCTAGGATCCACAGAATATCTGGTATAGAGTACTCAAGGACTTCATCACGAGCATATAATCTTTTATTTTGCTTGAGTCAAGGAAGTAGCAGTTTCAGGAAGGGCATAACCACACCCTTCTTAAGTAACATGAAGTTTGCCCAAACTTATTCTTGTTCCCAGAACACCTCAGATTCTGTTAACAACCAATTAAGTGATCTCTCACCCACAGCATTATTTATGAACTCTATTCTAAGAGAAGGTATTACTTGGAAATAAGCTAACCAAGTTTGTTTTCCACTACGTAAAGCAGGAATTTTCTTTTGTCTTATGCTTGTTTCCTTCAGGTTTCTGCTGAAGGGCAGGGAATTAGCTTTGAGGTTGGTCCTAGCATCTTAGGGACTGGTGAACTATACTTTTCTCCTCCATAAATATACTGTATGGTTATTTATAAGCCTTGATCAAAATCAATTTTTAGCTCCCTGCAAAACGAAGGGGCCTCATTTTCTCATCCTTCCTTACAGAGCATCACATGTGTCTTTCTCTCTTCCTTCATCACTTTAGCAGCCCTTCTCTACATCTTCCCTAGCTTTGCTATATCCTTGTGCTCCAACCAGCACTACCCCTTATATTCTAGGTAAAGAGTAACCATGGGTTTGTCAAAAAAGAAGAGAGCATCTTCGATAATGCCTGGTATCCTGTTGGCCTTTCTGGTCATGGACACATGGTGCTGAAATTGGCAAGGGGTGGTGTACAGGTTCCACTTCTGGATCATCACTGATAATCCTGAATCCATCCATGGAGATTTGTCCCCAAATGCATTCTTACATTTCCCTTCAATGAAGCTCAGCCAATGTTTTCTGCCCTCACATATAACCTTTTCAAAATATTCCTTAGGCTTACCACCACCAGTGTAGTATTTCACTCCTCATGATAGTTGTCACTCCTGGTGTACCATCCTTTTCAAGATTACTCATAAAATATTAAAATCTGGCCAGGTATGGTGGCTCACACTTGTAATCCCAGCACTTTGGGAGGCCAAGGCAGGTGGATCACTAGAGCCCAGGAGTTCAAGATCAGCCTGGGCAACCCCCTCTCTACTAAAAATGCAAAAATTAGGCTGGGCGCGGTGGCTCATGCCTGTAATCCCAGCATTTTGGGAGGCTGAAGTGGGCAAATTACTTGAGGTCAGGAGTTTGAGACCAGCCTGGCCAACATGGTGAAACCCCATCTCTACTAAAAATACAAAAAATTCTGCCTGTAA